TAAATAGTCACTGAGAGGACGTAAACATAATTTGACAATTTTATTTTGAAAAACAGCTTTGACAAATGAAAAAGATGTGCAGACATTACTATATTGTTTGTGTCAAAATATTTAATAAAATGGCTTTTCACAAGACAAGAAAATATTAAATATATTTATATCCCTAAATTTTTTTAAAAAATTTGTTCCTTTAAATTATTGTTATTAAGGGGGTGCATCAGTTGAGACGACTGATGCGGTTCTAAATCTCAAAGGAAGGTGTCACATTGGGATGCAGGGCTAGTACAGCATCACAGTAGTTTTTTGGCATGAGAGATTTCATAATACCATGCGTCTACCACCTAGGATATAGCAGTTTTACGGTAGATAGGAATACCACGACTGTAATATGGGTTACAGACGGATACAATTCTAGTTTAGTCACATTCTCACTTGGCATTGCGGTACCAACATTCACTTTTATTGCACTATCAATTATTTCCCTCCCTCCCTCCCTGTAGGGTTTTATTTTGTTCTATTTAGGGACAGTGTGATCACTTTTATTATTTGATTGAGGTTGTTTTAATTCTTTTTTAGTTTTGTCTTTCTTATTGGTTGGAGCACTTTATTTTTATACTAAATATTACCTTTTAGTTATTTACCATGTATTGTATTTTGTTATGATTAATAAAGGCTGTCTTGTATCCCAAACAATGCCTGGGTTTCTGAGTTTTGTTGATTTAGTGTAAAAACTATGAGAGCTTAGAGCTTAGTGATGTTTAAAGATGTTAGGCGTAATGCTGTAGTATTTCGATAAAAAAGTGTATTTTTTAACTTTTATAACAGGACCTGCTTGATATGACACCTCCGTTATATAGACACTTCCTATTACCCCTTCAGTGTCCATATCAATGGGGTTTGACTGTAATTATGAAACATGGAACAGTTTTGTAAGATCGATCATTTGGTTTCCTGTTTAAAGTGTATCTTCAGCCATTCTTCACATTTTCCACCTTGCATGTCATAACCTAAGGCAAAGTAAAGTAACAAAAAAATAATAAATTAAAAAATTATATGAGCAATCGAAAATAGAGGCATTTTTTTATGTACCTGAATCTGTGTACATTTATTTCATTGGAATGAAAGGGTTATCCAGGGATGACCAATACTCTTATTATATTGTCAGCATTGACATTTTAATTCAGTAATCGAAAATTATATAAGTGGGAAACTGGTTTGCACTGTTGCATACTGTCTCATGACAGCGATTAATCAACCATCATCATTTCAGTCAAGATTTTTGTATTCAAGGCTATCGTATTGCTTCCTACAATGTGGGCTCGCTTGGGGCTATTCTTGTTGTTTTCACTTTTCTGAACTCGTGACAAGCAGTCATTTAACTGCGCAACTGACTTTTGCGTCTTTAAAAGCACAGCACTATGTGAAACTGCTTTGCACTACACCAAACAGACCAGTATCAACAAGCAAATTTTATGTAGATTTCAAAAACTTTTTTTTCCAACGGTCCAAAAAATGACACTCACCTTCTTTTTTTCGATGTTTTGCTCCTTGTCGGGCATTTCTTTGAGCTGAAAAACTCTCGTGTTCGGTCGCTTTACCTCCCAAAAACGCACAAACGTTCATCGGACGGCATTTTTCTTCACACCCCTGATTTCCCATTGTCTAAAGTCACAGCTCTCAAAGTAGTATGTGGAAAGGACACTTCTAGGCGCAGCAAAGAGCCAGGAAGTGACCTTCCCTCGTGTTTCTCGGCGTGGGCGCCATTTTGCAAATGTGGGTGACGTCATCATATATCCAGATCTGGTTGTGGCCCGGACTGATGATCTATGATAATTGTCAGCAGATGCCTGATTTTGACAGCTGTCAATTCATTGTGATACGGACGGCTTAAATAGCTAACAGGCTAGTGTCTACGTACGGTCAGCGTTCGGTCGTAGGCTACGTCATAACCAAATTTCCTGGGACGGATGGTTCACCAAATTTTCTTATCCGTGGTGCTCCGCTGCGCTCGCTTCTTGCGCGCGAGAGCTCTACTATTACGTTGGAGGAGAAGTGCGGATATTCACTATCCAACGATCCTTTGTGTAGCAGGAGAAACCAAGCTTCAAACTCACTAGTGAGTCTGAACATGAGCCGAACCTATGTACCGAAGACTGAGAGAAGTGGTATTTTTTTTTTCTCGGACGATGAATCGAACACCCCCTCTGTAATAGACCCAGAGGAATCTTTACCGGGTTGTCGGAGAAACGTCACAGGGTAGGCTTAATGGAAGACTTTATTTGCGTGCTAAGTTAAATGTCGTATTTGTATATTCGGCTTCGAAAATTAGAGCGCAACTTGGAACTTTAAGTTCTTCTTAATTAATGCCACAAACGCTGATTTGCTTAAACCTAGCTGGCTTAACATGTAACCATGTAACATAAACAGCAATAACCTTCTAATGCATGAAGTTTTCAGAGGTTCTAAGGGAGCTTTTAGCCTGAATCTGAGGGGGCGTTTACATGAGAAAACTCGCACCGGTACGAGTTTAATACCGGGATGACTTTTTGATTTCGTGTCGTGTTTACATGTTGTTTACATGATGACTGGGTCATTTCATACCTCGTTATTTGAAGGTACACTATAAACCAGTGTGATTTAAAATCGCAAACATTACGCATGCGCTACCCGTTCCAGTCGACGGGCAGATTAAGACCGGTAGATTGATTTCACACCGAAACGTGTGGTCGTTTCGCGTTTACATGATACCGTTGCGAGATTTCGTACCGGAGTGAAATTCTCGCCCCGGTACAACAACTGGGGTGAACTCACGCCGGCTTAACATTTTGTGGTGGTATCATGTAAACAAATTAATGTAGAGCTATGAGAGGGAACCGGAGTGGACTCGCGCCGGCGCGAACGTCGCCCCGGTATCATGTAAACACCCTCTGAATTGTCTGCAAAAAGGAAAAATAAATATATTAAAAAATGAATAAATAACAAAAAAAAACGTTACAGCGATAGGGAATCATATATAGCTTTCATATACAGCTCTTTCGAGAAAGGTTGTCGGAAAAAGTGCCCTCGACAATCCCCAAGGGTATTGTGTGGTTTTGAGTTCATTGTAGACTGCTTGCACTCCGCCTTTTCTCTTAAAATACGTCTAATTCTTGATCTCATCCAGCGCGATTGCAAACCATGATGTTGTTATATAGATTTAGCCGGCGAAAAGCTAAGCTCCCGTCGATAAATTTATAATTTAAATCAAACAATAAACATTAATCAGTTGATTTTAAGGCACATTCATGCGACTCTCGAAGAAAGTGATTATAATTTGACAGTCCAAGAGTGAAACAAATTTTACATCAACTTAATAGTCTTATATATACACTGAAGAATAGCAATCATTTTCGATCGCAGTAGATTAGGCCTAGAAAACAAATTCTTTCCAAACAAAATGAAAAAATGGCAGGCCGAGAGGCCATGGACCTATGTTTGCGAGTGCTAAAGGAAAGTTCGATAGCTACAGTGTCAGGAACAGGATCATATCGCATATTAAAATTTTTCATCTGTTCGGATTTCCCAGCTGAAAGTCTAGTGATTCGAAAATTATAGGGATCAAAACTTACCTTTTCGAAATTTTCAGCCAGAAAAAATGCTCTCGAAATTCTAGGTGACCTTTTTAGGGTAAAAATTCCGTTAAAAATGGGCAATGTTCGAAAATCCCAAGGGAGGTAGGCAAGCAAGAAATTTGACAACAAATGTTCCGAAAATTCTAGGTAGGTCGGTGGGTAGGTATTTTATTTATCCACATTACACGGATGAGTACAAGACTCGTTTAAACGTGAACGTGCCAAATTACTATAAACACAGTACATATCAAAACGGAAAAATAATAAAATAAAATAAGATAAATAAATAAATAAAATAAAATAAAAATAAAAACCAAGATATAAAAATAGAAAATAAAAAATATACGAAAATCAATAATGCAAAGAGGAAATCTAACTATATAGAATCCAAACTATGTACAAAAGTTACAATTACACTCAACTCTGGTAGTCAAGTTGACACCAGCATTGACTTAAAAATGTTAAGAGATGGAGCTCTCCTTACATATATAGTCAGGCAGACTGTTCCATAATCTTGAGGTGATGTAATGATATGACCTATGCATGAATCTACTGTTATAGGTAGGCTGATTGAGCTTGCAGAAGCCGTCTCAAATCGTCTTCCGAATAGTTATTTTCCGAAAATCGACGTTGGGTACCATGTGCACATTTATTCTGACAACCTTTCTCTGTATACACGCTACAATCCCGAAAGGCATTGTTGGTGGTTTTGAGTTCACTGTTCTACAAAGAATTTTGAATGAATGGCACGCGAGGCTATAGAGGTATGTTTGCGAGTGCTTAATTAAGGTGGCTCGACCCAGTATTTCTATAGGCAAGCCCTCAATCTTTGAATCTCTCTCCTGCTTATACTTAATTTGTTAAAAAGGAGTTATAATTATTTAATAAATTGTCCAAAATTTATAATACATCAACACTTCAAACAATTTGAGTCAAATTTTTTAATTTACTTTATTCTAGTAATTCTAGCATCTTTGAGAATTAAACGTCATTCTCGGGGATCATTTCAGGTGAGTGTGAATTTCGGGTCGTGTGCAGACCCGCGAAGTTCTGCTCTCAGTTCGTTCATGTAAGCTACACTAAATGACCGTAGGCACCTCCGTTGTCATGGCGGACAAAGCTGATAAAGCTGCGGGACAAAGAATTGTGGTCTCTTTTTTGAGGAGTTTTTCTTCAATTTTTGAGAATGTGACGTCTTAGCATCATCCAAAGTACTTCTTAAACAGCTTAAAGTCGAAGTGTAAAGACAAGGAAGGCCACAGTTGAATTATTTTGTAATCGAACATTCGTTCAGTCGACCGAAGCTCCAATATGGCGGATACTCCTCAAGGCGGCAGTCAAGTGTCTGAAACGGCATCAGAACCTGGAATAAAAAGTCCTGAGCATTCTATGTCTCTGGAAAGTGTTACTGATACAACACCAACAACCCAACCAAAATCTCAGCCACCAAAAAGACGCGGAAAAGGTAAAGCTTATACCCAATGTATTTTAAATATAATACATGTAGATTGTAAAGTTATCAGATTGTGGGTATCCATCGCCACAGCCAGATCGTACTTCTTAATGGTCAGATCTTTCCACAGTTTAGTCAGAACTTTTCTCAAGCTACGAGCAAAACGAGGGCGTTAGTTATGTGTGTGTATACCTCGTTCTTTAATATTTAGCTGCAGTGTAATCAAGAAGCCAAAAAAACGTTTTACGCTGAAACTATGGAATGATCTGGCTACGATCTGGCTCAGAACAATCTGACCATGAAACAAAGTGACCGTATAACGGATTGTTTGTAGCTGATATATCAGAACTTCACTCCTGGAATCAATTCGATTTGAATTATACAACCTAGAAAACTTTCTGCATTCTATTTAGCGCCCGACTTACCTGTTCATGAAAGAAGGAATTGGCTAATACACCTACACTACATAAGGAAAGAATACAATCGATGTAAGGTGAGTTGTAAATGACTGTTTTTATGATCCATACAGTATTCCAAGGGTATTAAAGTTTTCATGTTGTTGCATCAGCAATTAACAATCGTTATTCTTTCAGGCTCTCGTAAGTGACCAACTTCAGGAAACCCAAGGAATGTGTGAATATGCTCTGTATGTACAAGGTACATGTAAAGGAACAATCTGGGGGTATTAAGGGGCGGGGGGCAGAAAATTAGTTCTTGTAATTGTGGATTTCAAAATAAATGACAGATCCAGACATACACACAAATCCATTTTTAGGTTTGTTCATGACATGTTGAGAAAAATCTGGACAGTGTGGGTTTGAGGTCCAGATTTTCTGTTGATCAATGTACCCCTTAAGTGTACATCACATTGTACTGTACTGTTAACTTAACTGCTCTTTTTTTTCTTCTATTGTGAAAATTGTTTTCGAGAGTGGCTGGACTACTAAATACCATTCAGAAATTCAATACATGCATGCATGTACATGTATTATAAGTACAATTCATGTGTAGTGACAGCAACCTTTTAAAGAACAGAATAAGAAAGTGTGATATTTTAATATTTTCCTTTGCTGTTTTATTTCTTTTATTTTATGTAGCATTAATTCTGCGTCAGGAAGGACAAATTCAAGAATCATTAGATCTCTTCCAAAGGACTGTGCAAATCAACCCCCAAAGTGCTGACAATCTAAAGCAAGTGGCAAGATCTCTGTAAGTCTTCAATTCTCTGTTAAATGTCTAATGGCTCCTTAGTATAATTATTGTTTTGGTGTTCTCAATCTTTCATGTATGTAAATTGAACAATTAAGTACTTTGTAAGTTCCATATACAATACACGCACTGTTGATAACCCATTGACAGATTAGCCTTACTAATAGCAATCATGTCATTGAAGATAGAGAAAATGAAGCATGCACAACAAAGCCTCTAGAAATCCAGCCTCTAGTTTCCCTGCAGAAACCTGTATGGATGCGAGAAATTTTGGTCATGCATGATGTCAGTGTACACCCATCCAACCCTCTTCCTGTATAGACCCTGGTGAAAGGGAAGTGGGGTGGGGAAGGGGTGCATGGAAGGTGTAACGAGAATCCCAGATATGCAGCTTGCATTTGTGGTGGCTGGGTTTTACAGATTTTCATGGCCTTGGTTTTCATAATGTCAGGACTTCTGCATGGAGATGTATTTTTGACAAGTTGAAGGTTAAAACAACCACGTGAAATAATTGAGAGTGATCACAAGTCTCGAGGTTATAGCTTTCTCAAACTGATCATTGGGAATAATTCATAAGGAAATACAAAAGAAATGCATGTTTTCACAAGTGTCTGGAAATCAGATCAAAAACTGTTTTTTGCATCTTTACATGAATGTTTCTTCTAAAATCCTTTTACTTACTTTTAAAGAGAAATGCATACGAGTTTCAAGGTGTTTGATATTGCAATGAGATAACCCATCAAGTTTTTTGAAACTTGACCTCATTTCATACTTTCAGCCATAGCTCTTCTATAAAGTGGTTAATGTAAAGTGATGAAACACAATCTCATGTTTGACATAGTACATGTACTTCGAGTAACTGTTACATTAACCCTCTATGCCATGTTGATATTAACAACTTCGTTAACCTCTTTAGCTTCCTTCTTGCACGTCACAAAGCTGCTCTTGAAGTGTACAATGAGGCTGCAAAACTAAGCACCAAAGACTGGGTATGTATGTAGTCTTCGTAATACACATTATTCAACTTGTTGGTGAGCTGTCATTTAGATTTAAAACAAATGTAGGACACCAAAACAAGCCCAGCTGCAATCAGTGACAAAATTGTTGAGACATTGGTTTCAAATAGGGTAACTTTAGAGAACAAAGAATCCACACCTCCCCTGTCTTGTCCATTCAAAGTTGGCATGTTTGTTGTTTTCTATAGGTAGCTTGAACAGTTGCACAACATTGCATGGAGGGTATGGGGGAGGAAAAGCTATATTTCCCCCTTTTGAAGTCAGTAAAATGAAAAAAGCCCAGTTTAGGGCGAAGTGTCTCAAGTCATTTTGTTGCTGATTGTAGATCTGAATAGACGCACATAAAATTATTCCCTAATTTTACTTGCCACCTTTTGTTTACACTTTTTTTTGCTTTTGAAAAGATTTAACTAAAGTTTCATTTTTTTGCAATATTTCATTTTTAATAGGAAATCTACCATAATCAAGGTAAGACTAAGATTGTTTGTTGATTGATTTCATTTTGTCAACGTTGTTGTTTTTGTTACATGTAGTAGGTAATATTGAATGATAATTTTGTGTTATCAAGTAATAATAATAATAATAATAATAATAATAATAATAATAATAATAATAATAATAACGTCTTTATTAAAAAGCATCCGATAAAATTACATATCTGATGTTACAGTAAAAATATATATTGATAGCAAAAAAAATTTACAATGATTAAGATGAATAAAAAAGATTAAATTGATTAAAAATACATATGGGGTATTTACACAGCTAGATTATATTTAAAAATTAATCTATTAAAAAAGCTATCTTTGAAACGTTCAGTGTTAATGCTGGGCCTGACAATGGATTTCCTTCGAAGGTTTGCAATACAGTCTTTGTACCTTGGGAGCAAGCTTTTTAATGGATGGTCATCGCGTTTGAGGTTATAAAAAAGGCGTCTGTCGCTTTTCTCCAAAAGTTCATATATGTTGTAATTGACCGACGTATAACGCCTCTTATAGCATCTTTTTAAAAACCTTTGTATAACAGTAAGTTCGGAAACACTTGCAGCATAAACTGAAAGACCGTATAATAACTTAGGGATCACAATTGAATTAAAGAGGTGGTCTATTTCATCTTGTGTATATCCTTCTTTACGTAGGCTTCTGATGACAAATAAACACTTGTTGGCTTCATGGAGCTTGGCCTTGACATGCAAGCCAAACTTACAATTACCTTGAATTGTGACGCCTAATAAAGAAATGTTATTATATTGTTTGATATTGTGAGACATTGGGTAGACTGTTGAATTGCCTCTCTTACGCATAATTAGCTCCTTACATTTACTAGTGTTACAATGCATGTCATTTGCAACAGTCCAATCCATAAACTTGGACAAGGCAATGTCAGATATATCCGGGGAATCTTTAGTAATCGTGACTAAGACGGTTGAATCGTCTGCATATTTAAACAAGGATATATCTTTGTACCCATCTATCTCTAGGTCATTCAAAAATATGTTGAAAAGATATGGGCCACTGACACTTCCCTGTGTTGTTCCCTTGTTAACAATTTTCCACTGGCATGTCAAATTATTAAAAATCACCCTTTGTTTTTTACCTTCGAGAAAGTTGGCATACCAGTTAACAATGAATGAATCAAGTGGACTATGTTTCAGCTTTTCAACTAGAAGATTGTGTTTAACGTTATCAAAGGCTTTAGAGAAATCCATCGTGAACATTCTCACCGCTAAGGTATCCCGTTGTCAAGTGTGCAAAAAAAGTCGTGTTTGATAGCCTGGGGTTATACTCAGCCTCATCCAATAATAATTGATAAGTATGAAAAATGTGTACCAAGTCAGTGGCTGAGTTGATATTACCAGTACTTGTCTTTGTGACACTCAATCATTAATTACATTGCATACTGTACCATTTTATTGAATGTCATGAATTTGTTTCTCAATTGATCCTTTATTAGGTGTTTGCTATATGTATCTAAAGGATTTTGAAAAGGTGAGTGTAATGATATATTATTATTTTGACTAACTCCACACACTTAAACAAGAGAGATAAAATGGGAAATAAATTACACCGTAATCCCCAGGACACTGCAACACCCATACCCTAACAAAACAATGGACATTTTGCAATGTCACTAGACTTTCTAAAAGTCGTTAAGTTTTTTTCCTGGTTGTTTATGCCATAGTAAAGGACTTTTCAGACCTGTTTGGTGCGAAATTCAGCGGTAGAAAAAATCTACTGACCAGTGACATTTTGACAATTGACTAATAGGACAGTGAGTGATAAATTATTTACACCGCTCCCGACACATCATACAGTGTATGTCAATCATTTTTTTCCAGCGTGAGTTTATAATATAATTCAAATCCATTCAGGCAAAATAAGTCGACCTTGAGGCTTTGTTGCTCGCTCAGTGGCTGCGTGACCTCATGCATTGAAAGCTCGCTTTGCACACTTTTAAGAACTTATGAGAGGTCGACTTGAAGACTTGCAGTGAGGATCAACAGCAGGGAAACTGCTGGTGGCACCGCAAAATTCTGCCTCTTTTCTCAGGCTACAACACAAACTGGCACCAATAATTTAAGTATGAATTGTATGAATTAAATTAAATTTAATAACTACATGTACATGTAATTGGCAGGTTCAAATAATTAAAATAGTATTGAAAAAATTGATGACTACTTCATATATATTACAATAATATTACAATGTGTCTCTGTGCAGCAAAGTGTATTAGCCAGTACAAGTATCCAGATTTAAATTTTAAAGTATTGATATTGTTAATATTCATTGTCACTGTAGGCTAAAGATTGCCTGAAGCATGCTTTGCAGTACCACCGCCATGATGCTTCTTTCATTCAGCTTGGGAAAGTTCTCCTCTTAGAGGGCGACACGGAATCAGCCATTGATATTTTCAAAAGAGCAATAGAGTAAGTTCCAGTTCGTATCATTTATGCTAATAATGTACAGTGTTCATGATAAATTTTACATACATACTAAAAGTGGGGATGACGCGTAAGTGAAACGCATGCAAAAAATATGAGTGCGTGGTTTGGGAAAAGGGGGCTGTGGTGGGAAAAATAAGGCTCCTCCCTTCCTCTTCCAGTTTCCTCCCATTTTATTGTCATGTTTGGGCTTTCTCCATTTTGTGGACCCGACTATCTCAGAACCTGGAACAGGCTAATACAAGAAGGGGTACTTCTTCCACAACTTACAATGTACTTCATTCAAATTCCAACTATTTTGCGAAACTATAGCAGCACATTCAGTGGGTGCAATATGGTCCCAGAAATATCTTGACCCACTTTATGAAGGAGGTGGGGTTGTGAACGGGAATTCAGTTGGGTGAAAGCCCATACCTTTATAGGACAGTGGATAGTGGAGCCATCTATAAGTACCAGGGGCCAAGTGCTAAAGTATACTTCCTCTTCTTAAACTGCAAGAAAATTTTAGCCAATTATTAATTTTGTTAATATCTTTGTTTTTTATTATCAATTTGAGATTTTGCTGTATTTGCAGATTCTCACCTGAAAACCCTGACTTAATGACTACACTGGGTCTTCTTTACCTTCAGGTAAATAAATGGTACTGTCCAGTGTACATGGAAAAGCTTGATACTATCATTATTATTATTATTATTATTATTATTATTATTATTATTATTATTATTGTTTCCCTTAAACTACACTGTACTGTTTCTTGCATTGCAAGATAAAAAAATCGTTCTGTTTTTTTCGCTGTTTACTTGATCTTTCAGCTTGGACAGACCTCAAAAGCTTTTGAGCATCTTGGGAATGCCTTAACTTACGACCCAAGTAATGTGAAGGTACAGCTATAAGCCTACATTGTAAAATAAACTGTTTCCTCACAATAAGGTTTACACATGTAGTTAAGATTAGTTTTTGGGTCCACTTGCAAAGTTTTGATCGTAAGAATTTTTTCTACAAGCAGTTGGTAAATAGTCCACTTCCAGATTGCCCCTAGCCTCTTTGTACATAATAATGCAGAGAAGACAATGGGTCCGGTTATTGAAACGACGTCTATAACTTAGACCGCGGTTTATGAAATCTTTGAACCTCCGGATCTCTTCCTTAGTGGGTTATGTTAAGAGGGCAGTGTTCCAGCCAGAGTGCGCCTTTGCGTGAATCCCGCAAAAGATCGAGAGATGGCCCCCTCCAAAAGTGTTCAAGGGCTATTATGGCCCTTCCCTTCTTTAATTCCCTGGGCTTAAAAATGTCTCTGTTACTTCAACTACAATAATCTTCCAATTAAACAGAATTTTTAATCTAAAGAACAACGACTCCATACCTTTGTACACAACATGAAAATCAATCGATGAATCTTCTTGAGTTTACCTGATTTACCATGAGTGGTCTGGAGACCACTGAGCCTCGACTTGGCTTTTTTAATATCGCAGGAGCTGATGGGTATCCATCATGGCGTCTCGAAAAAGGATAAGTCTGACAAACGCATCTTCAAGGTCTATAGAAAGTTTTTTTCTCAGCAAGTAACGAAAAAGTGGATGAAGGCGAAGCAGTTCAGAAGAAGCGAAAGGAAGCAGATCTTGACGGTGAAGTGGAAGATGAGATGAAAAAATTACTTACTATTTTTATTGCATACATTCTGATTGTACTGTTTGCTTTATTACCGAAGATTTCCTCTATTCTGTATAAAGAGGGACGCTCTATATCAGCTTCGAATAAACTGCCATTTTCATTTCCTTAACTTTCCAACTGCCTCTTCTCTTTTGCATATGAGAAAGATACGGTACATTGGCCCTTTCTTGAAATATCTGGCCCCCCAAAATGGGTTGTAGGAGCCACTTTGGCCCTCAAGCAGAAATTTCTGGCTGGAACACTGAGAGGGCAAATGCTTTTCTAGTTTATATTATATGCATTAATGAAACTGTTCACAATAAATGGTGTGTACATAAAAGCGTTTGGCAAACTGAAAGTGGATTAGAACGCAGTTTTGTCGAACACTGGCCAAACTACGTTTAAATAACTGGCCCAGTGAGTTTAGGGAAAACCCAGTCATGCACGAGGAAAACTAAGATTAAAACTAAGATTAACCAAGTGAAAAACGGATTTGAGCTCACACCTGGAAATCGAACTTGCGCATAGATGGCCAAATGTGCCAATCCTTGCTTCTTGCTTTCCAGTTCATTGTATCTTTGAGAAAAAGGCTGATAGAGTTTGCTTTTCCTATTCCAGGCTATTCTAGGAGCAGGTTCCATTATTCAGTCACATGGTGACTACGATGTTGCTTTGACAAAGTACAGGATCGCCGCTTCCGCCACACCCGAGTCACCTCACTTGTGGAGCAACATT